AGAGGCGCCTTGTCAACATCTCCGAATGCTCGCGGAGTTTTTGTTCACTTCGCCGGAGTTCACGAAGCTCTCGCACAAGATCCATGTGCTTTGACATACTTACAGTCTTCGACTTCAGCGCATTGTTCTCCTTCTGAAGACGCTCGACAACAAGCTTCAGATTTTCAACCAAAGACTCCAACGCCTCGGCACGACTCCGTTGCTGTGAAGTTCCCGTGCGTTTTGTGTTGGTTGAGTCTACCTGAATTATTTCCTCAATGTGTCGCTCCAGACGTCCAACCTTAAGTTGCAGCGCCTCACGCTCAAAGCGGAGATCAAGAATAATGCCGTTCTTTTCCAATAATTCCCGCTGCAGAGTTGCCCGTTCACTTCCGTTCTCGGCCCTAGACGGGGCTATAGGGGGCTGCAAATTGGGCGTGGCTTGAGAGCGACTGCTCAATTCCGCCGCCAGACGTTGATTCTCCACCGTCAACTCATCGATACGTTCTTGCAAGTTGCGCATCTGCATCTCCTTCTTGACGCTTAGCTCTCTTCGAAGCGAGTCAATGACACTCTCTAAATGGAGAACAGTCCGCTTGTGGGAACGTATATCAAGTGGGGAGGCCATATAAGCTGAATCCACAGACTCCGGATGCTGACACCGAAGATCTGTCAACTCCTTCTTGTAGGATTCCGCTTCACTAACGACATTGTCAAAGTTCACCACACGCTTCTTGAGTCGTTCAACTTGGCGTCGAAGTTGTTCATTTTCTTCCCTTTGACGCTGCAGCTGATCTTGTTCACCTGATACGGCTGTATTTGGCACGGGGGAAACGACCGCGGTAGGACCTGTGAAAGGAGTTTTACTTGAAACCGTTACAAAATTGGCTTGAACATGCTGATGCTCCTTGGCACGTTGCTGCCGACTGGCAGACGTTCGTACCAGAGCAAGCTCTTTTTCCTCAAGTTCACGTCGGGCATTTTGAACCATGACACGCAGAGAGCGACTGTTATCGCGCTCTCCTCGTAGTTGTTGACGAGCCTCTTCCAGGTCGCTTTCAAGACGGCGTACATTCGCCCGCAACGATGATATTTCATGCATGTTGTTTCTCTGCGCCTTTTCAATCTCTCGCTGTAGCATTGCTGCTATCTGCGGTTTGACAATAATGTTTGCGTCCGCGTCCGCAAGCAATGCACGAATGGGAGCGGAGGAAGAAGAAGTTGAACGGTGTGCTGGCCGCTTTTGCACCTTTTCTTCCTCTCGCTTCTCTGCACTTTCAACTTTCAAGAAATTTCTTGGCATTTTTTCTTCCCTCTCATATGTGTCCTGTTTCCCCTCCTTCACGGTATACAGGAGTTGCCTTCCCTTTTCATGCTTGCTTCGCACCGCATGGAGAGACGCGGGGCGGGTGCCGCTCAACTCGCGCTTAAGACGCAAAATTTCTTCTTCCCGCTCCTGTAGCTGTCGGTGCAAATCATACGCCAATCGCTGTGCCTCCTCATGCTTCTTAAGAGCCTCCTCTTCTCGACGGACTTTCTCCTCGAGCTCCCGCTGGATCGAGTGTAGCCTTTCGTTCACGATCCTCAACTTTTCAGTGGATTCCAACTGAATGGAACCCATCCGCTGCGCCAACGCAATTTCATGTTGTTGCTTGCGTGAATCATCACCACGTTGTTGTGCCTGCTCAATCAGTTTCTCCTTTAGCATTTTGGTTGCCAGGATAAGCTTCTCATTCTGCTCCTCCATCCGCCGCATATCGACGTTAAGAGCTTCATTCATAGCGACAAGGTGCCGAGCTCGCTCAACGTCAGCTTGTTGCCTTACAACTTCCTCGCGTAAGGCATCCAGATGAGATCGCCATTCACTGGTATCCGCCTGCAGTCGGCGCGCACTTTGCCGCTCTTCTTCCAACTGCGCCCGCGTCTCCACAAGTTGACTCTCCACAAAAATCAACTGCGCCCGTAATTCTTGTTCCACCGACGAACCTGTCATTTCCAAAGCTGCGACACTCTTCAGGACCCCACCCTGCTCCAGAATAGTATGGCGAACCTCATGTAGCTGCTGCTCCAACAAATCCCTCTCATTTCTGTATCGTTGCATTTCACGGGTAAGAGAAAATTCGCGTTGACGCAAACTCTCTATTATGGCATTCTGATCCTTAATAACGCCAACCACAGAAGCCTCATCTGTTGCTTCTTTCTGTGGCGCCTGCTGAGCGCTGTAATTGGGTCCTTGCTGCTGCTGCAGCAGCTGATTCTGTGACTTTGTCACCTGTTCGTTCAGTTGAGCCTCAAGCATAATGTTTGTCATGCGTGCATCCTTTAATTCCGCCTTTAGACGTAATGTCTCTTTCGTAAGCAGTGCAAGTTGTGCTGCCACTCCATCCGGTGATGCGTCACTCACAGTCGCCCCTTGTGTCGTTGTGCTATACGTGTAGTTCTCCGTCACACCGTCAATGGCCTCGCGGAAACGCTCCATCATGGCGCTATTCTCCTTGAAGAGATGATCATGTAATCGCTCCACGCGTGAAGATTCTTCAAGCTGATACTCAAGATACTTTCTTCGCTCTAATTGAAGTTGTTCTTGAAGCTGTTTGATGCACGCTTCTTTATTCTGTAACATGTCCCGAAGACATTGACTGTTGTGTTCTGCTGCACGACGTGTTACCTCTACTTGTGCTTCATGTGATCGTATAATTCGCCGCTCGCGCTCCTCTCCCTTTTGTCGTTCTTCTTCCAATTGTCGTTGCGCGTACTGCAGACGTCCCCTGAGGTGATTCATTTCCTCCTTTAGGGACTCTGTCTCGGTACGCGCCTTCTTGCTTTCGGAAACTTCCTTTTCCCATTGCTTTCTAAGCAAGTTTAATTCCCGTTTTAATTCCGCCTGTTTGTCAAGTGCCAGTTTGTACTCCTGAATTGCGGTGTCTGCGCCCCCGTCATCCATGTCACATAAGCCACCTCCACTGGATTGCATAATGAGTGCCGGCGATTCCACCTTTGCAAAGACAGTTTCCTTTAATTGCAAGAGTTTCTGCAGTATGTCTTCATTTAGTGAGACACTACCACCGGCCCGCAACTCTAAACGAGCCAATTCCTCAGTCAAATTTTGTATGTGCGACTCAGCCCTTTTTAATTTTTGTTGCATGTACTGATGATCCTCCTGTAGCTCCACAAGCCGCATGTCTTTTTCGCGAACAGCAGAAAGGGAAGTCAACAGTTTGGCGTGAAGTGCATCTTCGCGCTCCTCAAAGTCCTTTGCTTTGAGGAGATCTAATTGCTGCTGCAAAAGGTTTACCATTCCGTCACTCTCAGCGAGCTTTGAAGCCATCTCATTTTGTCTGGCCTGGCCGCGCTCAACATCTGCAATAGCGTCAACAAAACGTTTGTGCATCATTGCAACACGATGCGGGGAAATACTACCCTTCACTCCTCGTTGCAGGCCACGAACATAGTCCAAAACAGAGACCATCTGTGCAACATAGGTTCGGTAGAGACGAAACGCACTAAGCCTGTACGAAGTAGCCTCATTCACCGCCACACGCAGATTTGCCTCGGAGGCATAAAGTTGCATTCGAGTCCGTTTTGCTCGAAGCAACGACAACTCACTTTGCCTACGTAACGCTGCATGTTGCTGAATAGCAGCAGATACAAAGTCGCTTATTTTCCTGGAATCTCCCGCGTCTCGTACGAGCGAGAGTTCTTGCTTTGTGGCCTCTAGTTGAATCTCCAGACGCTTGAATTCCCCTTGTAAATCGAGAGAGTGATGCAAAAGACCCAAATTGATGGACTTCAGACGAGCCACATCGCGTTCTAGTTGCCGCACCTTGTTATCCGCAGTGGTCCCGTGACAAATTTGCTTCGTTTCATACTGCTGCTGTATTTGCAGTTCTTCTTCCTCCTGTTTTTGTTGTTGTCGTGACATTTCTTCTTTTTGCTCCTGAAGGACAACACCCAGCTTCCGCGTGACACCCGTTGTGTTGTCGTTCCGACTGCCACAACTGACATTATGTATGTGTTCCTGCAAAAACGCCAACTCTTCCCGGGCCTCCCCAAGTTCAGCTTCGAGTGTAGACACCTCTCGTTCCTTGTCCTCGCAACGTTTCATGTAAAGCGTACACTTTTGACGTAATGTCATGGCCTCTGTTTCCCATCTTGCGGCCTCCGAAGCTTCATTCCGATGAGTGTCGGGGGATTCTTCATGCACTTTCCGGAGACACTCCAATTCAGCTCTCAATTCATTCATCTCAATTTTCATCTCTTCAATTTTTTTTTCCCCATCTTTTTCACGGACTCGTAGGACGTTCAGTTCTTCCATTTGTTCCATGTTACGATAGATTTCACGAAGCTGCAAAAGGTATGCAGAGTCCTCCTTGAATAATTTTCCTCGTAACGCCCCTTCAAACCGCTGTTGGACTTCCTCAAGAACATCTTTCTCTACGCAAATAACACCGGAAGAACGCGGGAGAACAAATCCTGTAGACGTATTATCTAACGCCTCCTTAAGAGACTTAAAGGTGGTATCGACGTACTCCCGCATCGCTCTCTCTGACCTCAACGCCTCTTCTTGAGTTTCTCTTGCACGACGCAAACGCTCTAATAATTTGCCCTCACGTTTTCTTAGCACAACAATCTTTTGAAAAATTTGGCGTGTATTATCCGATTCAAGACGCTGCATCGCTTCTTGCAGATCTTCTACAATCTTGTTTTTTTCATCCAATTTGCCGCGGAGCTCCTCATTCATTTGCTGGATCGCCAATAGTTGATTCCGGAGGTCCTCCTGCGCCGCGCACGCCTCTGAGAGTTGCTCCGTTGCTTTTATTTTTGCCTCACGATGCTGCGCCGCCCCATTTTTTGCTGCCTCAACGGTCCCTTTAAGGGAGGCAATAAGCTCATCCTTCGCCCGAAGTTGTTCCTCAAAGGTTCGCAAAAGGGAAGCGAAAAGGGAGATCTCGGGGAAGCCAAATC